AACTAGTGTAAAATTACAGTAAAAGTCAGCATAACAAATGTGGAAGAGATTATAACTGGATTTTTATTGTGACTTATGCATGGATTCCTATACTAGCAATCTGCTGTGAATAGATCACTTGGAAAAATCTCCAAAAGAGTCCTCAAGCATGTACATCTTGTGCTCTAGCGTTTCTGAGTAAGAGGACTGACTTTCATCAATGGTATTTAGTGCTCTCAGAGATAAAGAGTCATCGAAGTCCAGTTTTGGATATAATACTGTACTGAACAGTGCAACAACTTCCAGTGTCTTGTATCTTTTCCCAAAAATCCTGCAAGATTCCAGGCAGCTTGTGCTTAACAGGGACTGATCTACTAGCCCTTATTGAAGTGGCTGCAGTGTTTCTTCTCCAGACCTCAGTTTGGTCTGTATAAGTTTGGCTCTGTGACTTAAGTGATACAATCCTAGTTGGCACCAACCCTGAGAAACGGGCTTATACTCAAGATATCCTTCTGCACTCCACATGCTTTGTCTTATCACAAAAATGAGTAAATAGCTGATGACAGGTGAAGAGGTTAGAGGGGCAACTGCCAAAATGTTAATTCACATGCTGTACTCTGCCTTATTTCAGCTACAGTCCAAGCTAATGAAAATGTGTCTTTAAAGATGAAAATTGCTGAACCCTTTAAAAACCTGTTGTAATTAGCCTATAACATTATGCGCGCTTGCTGTTTGTTGACTTCTATTGTTACAGGGCAGTACTACTGTGCTCAGGAAATAAATCAATAGGAAGCATTATAGGTAAGGATGTGAATCGTTTCTTTTTCCACTGCCCATTTTCACAGGCTTGTTTTAGGCTGTGAGCTGATTCATAGTGTATCCCCCAGACAAAACTGAAAATGTTTCTATAGGGGCTAATTCAGCATGAGGAGGCACGCAACAAAGAAAGTTATAGTGATTTCTGTGTAAATTAAAGCTAGTTATAGATGGAGAGAGACATTTCAGAATCTAAAAAGGCATCCTTCCTCAGTAATCTGCTGTATTGGAAGTGAACAACAACATTGCAAAGATTACAAAGACTAATATAATGGAAATGGATTGTTTCTGTAACACATGACCTCCTTCTCCACACCCACATGTACACAGTTTTATCTGTTTGCCTCAAAATACATAGCTACCTTTTCCCAGTAGGAACGGATGACTGTGAAACATATTCTGACATTCTCTGTTCCCATCTTATATGGTTGCTGTCATAATCGTAGGATTTCATCCAGCCATTTCTTCCAATGTGCCAGGATATCACGTTTGACAAACATCCCTGGGTAGATTGTTCCAGACTCTCGCAACCATTTGTGCACAAATTGCTTCCTATTTTCAGCTCCAAACACATTTCCATCTGGTGTTGTGTTTCACTGTTGAACTGAAAAACTCACATTGCTGTGGATTTAGCAGGGTATACTTAAAATAAATGTTTAATGACAGGCATCAAAGAGCAGCATGATCTTGGCAAAGCTCCTCGGTAGAGCTTCTGTACCTCCATTTTGCTGTTTACGCTGCCATAATTTATCAATCAGCTCTGGCATCTTGTGTACTGTATTGATATGTTATTTCTGTTTTTTTAATTTTTTGCTTTGATCACACAAGACATGATGCTTGATTGTTGTAAAGTACTTTGTTTTTTAAGTAAGCTTTGTTTCTCACTGTAGAGAGAGAGTTCTGTAGTTCAGCTGATCCTCTCTGGCTCTTACAGGTTTAATTTCCCCTTGTTGTTGTTTTGTTTTTAGAGTGGTGTGACAGGCACCCATTTCAGCAAAAAACGTGTTTCTGAAAAATAATCTGTCAGGTTGAGCCCGAGATATCAGAGTGGTACAGATTTCAGTAAACAATGATCCTCAAAGTGCTGTGTTGACACTAACTGGCCTATATGTGGGATTTCTTTATATAGTAGATGACACTGTTATCGTCGACAGTGTCTGTAGAAATAGCAGCAGATAATTATGCTAAAAACAAGAGTTTGTGACTATGTGGACTCAGCATTTCTTCAGCTATTTGTTATTTTTCAGTACTGCAACATATACGGACAATTTGGATTGATAACCAGAATAGTGTCTTTGTCTGAGCAGTACCTAATTTCAGGCACCAGGCCCATGTAACAGACGACCGCGTGCTTCTCTGTGGTATAGTGGGTAAGAAAGGGTCCTGGCTGTGGCCGAGAGAACAGTTCTCACGCTTCCTCGGAGTGGAGCCGGTGGCTTCGTGACCCTGTGCTCGACATGAGGGAGCAGAGAGTGTTTACCAAGAGTCCATCAGGGTCACAGCATACCACAATGCACATAGCTACTGACTCCATTTGAAGTCCAGCACATTTTGCTTGGTGCCATACGTACAGCTGCTCAGTTCTCTCTCGGGTTCCTTTTTTGTTTCCAAGCTAGAGAAGTTTTGGAATAAATAGTGTCTCGCATCTAAACTTAGGATCTCAGTGTCATTTCATGTGTGTAATGCATATACTGTTTATTCCTCATCTGCGACCCAGGTGGCCATGGAGGGGGGAAATGGGAACCACATCACAGAAAAGGCTCTGTGTTTGATAAAAGATTTATTATTATCGTCCTAAAATTGTTTTAAAATATGTTTAAGAATTTAGAAATTTAGAAATTTAATTTAGAAATTAGTGTAAAGAGAAATTAGTGCTCTTTAAAAAAAAAGCGTAGATTATTTTTTTCTGAGTTTTTATTTTTTGAGCCTTAATGCAGAATTGCCTTTTGGGAGGACTGGAGAGCCCAGCTCCAAAAAAGGAAATTTGTTCGTTTTTTGAAAAAAAAAAGTCATTTCCCAGAAATGCAGAGAAGACCATGTGGTGCTAACCGAAGAACAGACATGTTCCCATTAAGACTCAGGTGTCTGGCTAGAGAAAGGACCTGGAGGCTCCAGGGGTGCCCTATAGTTGAGTAGTGTGTTCCAGAAAATGAATTTCTCCCTTTCACTACTAGGGACTCCCAACCATGATGAGTTTCTAAAAAATATATAATCTCAGATTATTTCAGTTTTCATACCGGCCCAATTTGGAATTGCCAGTTTTGTACTGTATGTGAGATGTTGTTGATGTGCTCTTCTGCCCATGCCGTCCTGTCAGAGTCCCCCAGCACCTGACAGGAGAGTCAGCCCTGACTGGAGTAGAGCCGCATCTCTCACTGATGTCATAAAAGCTCGCAGGAGCCTGGGCTGGTCACAGGAATCGCATTGTGACAGAAAGCTGGGAGAGACCTGGCTGACTTTTCACAGCCTGCCTTGTTGGGAACAGTGGTGCATTTTATTTTTTTAACTGATGCAGTTAGTTGAATATGCTGTGTGATGTTAAGTGCTGTAAATGAAGATGCATTAACATATTTTAAGCAATTTCAATAATTCCCTTGATATTTGTTTTATGAATATAAAATATTAAAATATTGAGATGAACAGAAACAAGAAAAGGTTTTGGCATAAAAACATGTGTAATTTTACTTTTAATTCAGTGATTCTGAAATCAGTGTTGTTTGTTTTTATGATCATTAGAAATGATCTTTTCTCTTGGGGATTGGGTATCTATGCTGGAAAATGAATTATAGCATAGGTAATTATTTTGTGTAATAAAAGTTATAGAAATGCATCTCCAGAAAGTGACCCCAAAGAGAGCCTTCCACTGAAAACTACCCCCTCTTTAAGCCCATTAATGATGCTCTTAAGGATAAGAATATTTACTTCAGATAGTTTTAGAAACACACATGCTGTAGAAGTCAGAGATACTTCAATATGCTCATCTTGTGGGTGGAAGGTGTTATCTTTAGATACTTGGCTAAAGAACAGAATGCCAGAGGAAACTGGCTTGTAGAGGAGAGTCCATGTGATTCACTCTGTAGCTGGCAGTGAATTCAAATCATCACTCTTCTGTGGGGATCAGCCAAACACTAACTGCTTTGGCAGGGAATGCCCAGTAGAGGAATGGGTTCAATAAAAATGTTAATGGAAGGAAGTGCTATCTTTTGATAAGTCCGTTATTGCTGCCTTTCAATGAACATTAAAACCCGATAGAATTAGCATTAGCTTTTGTGGAGGAAATGTCCACCCTTTGTGAAGTCTTACAGTCTGCATGCCCCTGTAAAAAGAACATCCTGTGTCAGCTAGTGTTTGTGTTTGAGCTTTGAAGATGTGCTGTGCCTGTTTATTTTGGGTTTTTAAAATAGGAGCTCCTGTAGCATACGAGTGAAGAATCAGTGTGTTCTGGGAATATATAGGAAGGCTATGTACCCTGTGTTGTTTTTTTTTTAAATGGGTGGCTTCACTAAATGCTTTGTTTGTGAAATGAAGTGTCCACATGACTGTCAGAAGAGCCTCCTGACCGCGTTCTGCGCAGCCTGGGGCACATGATAACATGGAAGTGCTCATGATGCCATCAGTGCTTCATTATTAAAGGGCTAGAAAAACTTTTTCCAGGGAGTTCATCTGATTTTTCTTTGCAGATCATACTCTATATGTCCTTCGCTTTGGTTCTTGGTTGTTTGCCGTTCTCAATGGTGAAGTAAAAATCACTTTTGGAAAGTTCACCTGTAAGCCGACTGCAGATGTCAAGTGTGGACCAGTTTACGGGTGCTCTGAAGCCCATTGGTCTGAAAGCTGTGCAGCCCTGATAGATTCCTTCACCTTGTTCCTCACCTTCAGCCTTGGAAATAATTTCAAAAGCGTCTTTTCTTGGAAAAGAATGGCATATTGCAATCTAAGTATCTGCTCACAACACAATATTAAGAATTCACACAAAATTCCGAGAAGGAAATAGGAGCAACGTAATAAGTTGATGAAAATTAATTAAACTTTTTGTGTCTTTGTGTTTACTTTGCTTATATCATTGAATCAATTTCATGGAAATATCTGGGATCTTAAAGAGATAATTCAGTTTGCTAGGTTGGATTGAATAAGCTGTGCAATATAACCTCTTCAAACACTTCTTCTGCCTATCTTGGTTTAACTGTTTGCTTCTGTTTTTCTAGGAGACATTGCAACAGCTAATCATGATGCCCCTTCCAAATGTCCTGGTCCTGGGCAAGAATCCTCTCTCAGGTAGGTTTGGAACTTGAACTTTGAACTGAACAGTACAAAAACCTGCTTCGCATTTAACATCTGAGAGGCTGATGTGGGGACAGTAATGTACACATGGGGAAGTTTGTCTTGCTGAAATGTTCTGTTATTCCTAAAACATCATTACTAGGAGTCAGGCTACTCTTTTTAATGTCACAGATGCAATAGATTTGGAAAACATTTACTTCTCCAATTCTGCTTACGGGGAAGTGTGCTTTAGACTGTAACTTAGCTCTGCGCAGTTCTGTATTTTCTGCAGTGTCTAGCATATGCACAGCTCTCCAGCGTTATGTTGAGAAAGAACATGGGACCCTGAGCTTTTAATTTCACTGACCCATTCAAAATCTTTTTCATCTCTCGTTAGTTTTATGTTCACAATTTTAAATACAAGGATTATTGTAATATCCTGTGCTTAGGGGGTGGCAAAGATCATTGGTTGAGCTTTGAAAACACGAGTGCCAGTTGTGGGTTTGAGTCTCTGGTGCTGTTGTACCTTGACTGAGGTACTCTAGGCCATCCAGCTGTATGAATGAACCAGCATTGCTGTGGGGTGATAGAATTGTGCAGGACAAGTGTTCTCTAGTCCACTTCACACTACAGAAACCAGGATGAACTCTGGCCTTGTGAGCCACTGTGGCCCTGGTGTAGACTTTCTTTTACACTGTGCAAAATCTCAGACAAAAACATAGTGCTGCATGTTTTTTGTATAATCATAAAACAGCTTTGAGAAATGTACAATAACATTATGGAATCAAGATGAATAGAAAATCCATGGCAGACTTCCATTATAACCATGCCTGTTTATCACATTAAAAACATGTAAGGAAGCAGCAGTTATCAAACAGGGAAAACGATTCTGCTTAACAAATGGTGAAAGTATAGTGTATGTCAGGGTAAGGTGCTGGAATGTTAGGAAGGAAAGAATTCAGAATCCAGAAAGAAAAAAAAAGTCTGGTTGCTGCTGTGAAACTCCAGCTGTTAGCAGGAAGTCTCAAAAACTATTTTTAGCTTATCCCAAAATATTGACTGTCTATTGAAAACCTCATTGTTCTTCAATATCAGATTCTGATATTTCTTTTTAAGCAGTATAGTGTTTAGTTTTATAGCTAAACGTTTCCTGTATCATGCAGAAAACTGCATGTCAAAAGAGCCCTACATTCCACTGTCTTCCTGCCTGTGACCTTTGAACCTAGGGGCCTGTTGAGTGATGACATAGCATCTGAAAGTGATTCCAGACCGGAGAAGTCCATGTGTGTTTTATTACACTGTCATTAGTGTTCTCCGGAGGAATGGAAAGGCCTCGTTACTGTGGGAATTTACAGTAGGCTTGAGTTTCTCTGCTTTGAGGTCTGGATTTTTAAAGGGTTTATTATGATTCCCTGCAGGCTGGATGTGGGGTTGACCATTGTAGCTCTTTGTCATGTATGTAATGTTTTTTGTGTCCTAGTCTTTCACATCATGCCTCCAACAATAGCTGTGGACTGTGACTTTTAATTCTGTTATTTCAATAAATACAACATCTACTTGTTGTATTTAATCTGTCACGTTTTATGTACTTCATGTCATAGTTTAGTGAGATGAAGATCTGTATCCATCTAAAGCATCAAAGGCACTGACAAAGTCAGCCCAGTGGACTTCCCCAGAATGAGCAGTGGAGCATCCCTTTGTGTTTGACTGCTCTCATGTTTTTATGTCCTAAAGAACATCAGAGCTTGATTTGATCTCTTTTAGGTCTCTGTGGGTGTCTGCATAGTACTGATGGCATTTGCACAGTTTGGTGATTAACTTGATTAGCTTTGCATTCTATTTCATGCTAATCTGCCAGTTTTAAGATCCCTGTTAATCCTATACTGGGTATCGAGTATCATGAACTGCAAAGATGGGAACTCCTCATCCTCAGTGCCAGGCCTGGACTCTCTGGGCCTTGTTCTCATTCTCGCCCATCTAATCAATTTCCCAAAGAGCTATTCTTCCATTGCAAAAGAAAAGCAAGACTTTTTTAAGGACTGTAGCAACGTTCTCTCATAGGTGAATAGGGACAGACTAACTTAATTAAATCCTCAGATTCTCGGAACAATTCAGAATACACAGAATGGGTCTCATAACGTGTCACTGGCATCTGCAGCTAGAGGCTTTTTGGTGTTTCTTTTGCAAGATGTTATCTATAAAATTTGTTTTTGTCTTTTGCCTGCCACACTGCTCAGCAATGGGCAACCACAGTACAAACGTAGGGTTTATCATGAAAGGCAAACAGGCAGCCCTGCTTAAGATACAGAGATCAAGCAGTATGGACTAAGTGGTTCTCATCAAAGCTTCTTTCGTAATCACCTCCAATGACAGAATATCTTTCTCTGTTGAATGACCTTGCTTCAGCACCACGCCACTGGCCATGTGTTGTTTGGCCAGGGCTTCAATTTAAGAGGGTTCTTTGAGTTTTGAGACACCACAGGGCTTTCAAATATTTTGAAAATCTGATTAGATCGGGTGTCTGACTAATTAGAAGCGACAGTTGCTGAAGTTTTATGTCCGTTTTGTCTACCATTTTGATATTTTGGCATAATGATTGTAGGCTGAAAAGATACAAATATAAAAGACTATATCGTATATTAATTTTTCTTTTTTTGAAAATATTAGCAGAGCTGCCCATCCGTCTTAGATAGCCCATTTAGATTAAAGACAAATTTACAGAGTGTGAGGTTTATATATTTCTCCTTTTAAACTGCCATTCCTAAGGCACTGCTAATCTCTTTAGCTTGGTAGCACTTGAACTAGTTTTCCCTCTAAAAGCTTTTCAGAAAACCATAGAGTTCATTTATCCTTGGGTGCACCTTCAAATAGCCTAGCTCTCTGTTTTCCAAAATACACCTCGAGATCCGTCTTCACCATGCTCCCATGACGCAGCTGACATGCTTGGCATCATAGTATGATGACAAATACTGTACTTGAAACAAAATTAAAAGTAAGCAAAACAAAAGAATGACAAGAAGAAAATAATTACTGGATTCTAAAGTGATAAAGCACATACAAGCCTTATTGTTGCAACTTTGAAATACGGGAGTCACATACGGTTTTCAGAGTTGAAAACACAAGAATGTGCTGTACCTGTAATAGTTTGGGACAAGTGTGTGACATGAAAAAAGGTCTTAAATGTTTTTTGCTTCCACTTAGCAAAGAGCGGTGACTTGAAAAACAGGAAATAAATTGCAAGGTGTTTGGATTGAAATAATAGTAAAATGAAGAACGAAACAAACCTTGTGTATTTAAGAAAAAACTTAATATTAAAATACTTTCTATTAAGACTTCAGATTGTACACCTGTTCCAAATGTTCATTCCTAGCAGTGTGGGGTGATTGTGACAGGAACATTGCAACAACAGGGTCCGGTTAACAGCATCTGATGTTGGAGAAGACAGCTGATCTTCTGGGACAGGATTGGGAAACATACAAACTGGGCCTGAAATCCCCAGACATGCTTCTCTGTTCAACTATTCTGTAAGAACCCGATTGATGAGTCAGGACTGAGTTCAAGCTTCTGCCTTCTGTCACAAAGCAATATTCACTATTTTGATTAGTTTGATTAAGCTCTTCAGATTGAAGGAAACCTGCTTCAATTTGTATAAATGTGTCCCTTGCAGAAAAACTGTGAGTTAATCTTTCAGTTCTGACTTTCAGATAATCTATTGTTTAAAAAATGCTAATTTTCTCCTCATAAAATAATTCAAGTGAAATTTGGCAAGCCTCTGTAACTGAAAGTAATCACCTCTCATTTAAATTAATTAGTTGAAATATGAAAGGCCTACAGAGAGCCATCAGTGCAATTGACAGCCAATTGAATACTTTAATTGAATTGGAAGATCCCCCTTCAAATAGTGTCTCTGAACCTCTTTGGGAATCCTCATGTGATAGTATATAGAACACTGCAGGCGAGTAGTGATGTAAGTTGCCACCTCTTGCATTGGTAAAAATGACCTGAACCTCATGAGCCCCTGAAAAAGAACCCTTTCCTTTTCCTCTGTTTTTCTGCGACAGGATGAGGTGCAGTTCATAGCAGTCATTCAGTGTCAGCTCTGGCCATGTGTTTCCTGACAGGAAGCAAGTATTGTGACCCAAGGAGCCAGAATATTCTCTGCAGAAAAGTATTGTCATAATAAACCATGTCCATGGTAAACGGACACCCCTCTTTCATGTGAAGCAAAACCTCCATGAGTTATTTAAAGCCATGCTGTATACACAGTTAGTTCACTTCTTATCAGCACTTTAAATTATTCATTCAGTGCCTTAGTGCCTGTGCCTCCAGTGCTTCCGGATAGTCTACATTCTAACGCATTCTAAATCATTTACATTATAACTTTTTGACAAATGTTTGTATGTATAAATAACTTCCATATAATGTTTTATCTAAGAAGCTTAAAGCCAGATTTCTATTCTGGCCTTACATTTCGTTTACTGCACCAGCCACCAAAACACAGAAGCTACTGTGTTTTTCACACGCTTTTCATCCATGTTTCCTCTAAGCAGGCGTGTCAGTGACTTCCCCTGTAATCTCTGTCCTACTGGAAGATTTTGTTTTCAGCCCCGGTGAAAATCTTAATCTGTGAAGGCTGTTTTTAGGGACAGAGGAGTGACTTGAAACCACCCTGGGCTATCGCAGGTTGAAAAAGAAATGCTAGCTAACATGTTTAGATTCTCTTTCCTGGCTTTATCTGTTGCAGCAGACTGAATATCTGCTTTAAAAACCAAGGTGCTTTATTTTCATGGTTGATGGCTCCTGCTGTAGTGTAATCTCTGAGAGCCAGAGGTTGTGTTATTTCAGTCCTTCGTTTCTGAGTTTGAGTTAATTTAGGGGCTATAAAGTGCTTAAAGCAGAAATGCTCACAAATAGCATTCTTTATTATTTCATTCTGAAATTCTTTACGACCAACATTGTGAATTAGATATACTATTTTTCTGTCAATTTATGCTTAAATACATATTTATGAGTTTAAAATGTGAAATTCAGATGTATGGTGGCAACTGAAGCAACTTCATTTAGACACAAGCATGAACTACACATAGTACCGAGTGTTTAATGTTTTAGTGTTTAAAGTAAGTATTTCATTACTTAAAGTACAGTCTGTTAAGGAAGTTCTACTGCTTTGTGCGAGGCAGTAACATTGAAAGTTTTATATAATTTACAGGGTTTTCATGTTGTTTGACAGAAATAACCAGTACAAAGTGGGTTGGTTCAGTTGCTCATATTTGAAAGCTTGAGAAGTATGAGGATTTACACTAACAGAAGTTAACTACATCTGCCTTCAGTCGTGAGTGCCTTTCAGCACTGCAATGGTAAAGAATCATGCAGTCTGAATCCAGGAGAAGTAATGGAAAGTTGTACAACAGTGACCTGAGGCTAAAATCCTTAATCCACTGTGTGACTGCAGTTTACGTTTGTGTATGATAAAATCATAATCAAGCCCTTGGTGAAATCAAGTGGAACATGATAGAATTTTTTTTAATTAACATGAAACCTTGCATCAGATATTTGTGTGGAGCTATTTATACATAAACCCAACTCTTTCAGCCTGGTAATGCTATTATTTTTCTTGGTGAAAAAGATTGTGTGTAGCCTATATCTTTTTAAAACAACCTGTTAGTTTAGCTTCCTTTAAAAGTTCATCACTTTAGACATTGTGTGACTGCATGATGAGCTAGAGTGCACCATTTAATAATAATAAGCCCCTTCTCTAAAGGAAAGCAGGATGCGTTCACTCCTCCCTAACCTTGCAAATGCTCCATGATGGCTACATTATGCAACCATTTATTTTCCAGTACTGGGTCTCTTTTGTTCATGTCAGCAGTTTTATAATTTCATTGCAAACCATTACAGCACTCACTGTGGCTGTGGTGTGGTCTTGTCTTTGGGCCACATCCTAAGGCGACAGTTAGGATACTCCAGTTGCTGTTAACCGACCCTTTTTAACCCTGGTTGTGGGATAAACAAAATTAGTGACATCTGGTCAAGGCTTTTCTTCCTTTTTTTTCCAGACACTCCCTCAGTCTAATTGCTGCTGTCTTTGGGATTTTGTTTTGCTGCTTAAGCCCTTCACACTAAATGCAGTTTCATATCAGCACTTTTGCTATAAGCCTTTGTATACCAGACCTGTCTCTAGCACCTACTTTACCAATCATTGCCTTCCCCTTCCATTCTGTGTAGCATGGTACCCGGTGAATGGACTTAATAAAGCCAAGCTGGGCGACAGACGATTATTAAGCACCGAGACGAGGGAAACCTGCCTAATTAATCTTCAGACTAATCCTCCAGATAAATTTATCCCACTCTTTCTTTTTCATAGCTGTTATTTCATCACTTTATGATGATTAATATACTGTGTCCCTCTTAATACTCTGTCTCCAACTGCTCTTGTTTAAGCAGATGTGATAAAGTGCCCCTTTCAAGTGTCTCTTACATCCGTTCAAGGACAGAATGTTAGGATTAGCATATTGCACCTTCTCGCAGGTTTTACTGGTAGGATGAAATAATCCATTGGTAGCATTATTTTAATTGGCTGGCATCACAGCAGTGCAAATGACATTATTTGTGTAGTCATCTGGAGTACATAGCAAGTGAAATGTTTACTGGTGGATTTCTAAAATAAAAAGTAAAAAATCACATTTGCTGTTAAATGTAATACATTTAAAGAATTGATTTTGCCTTCCGAGTAAAATACTTCTGAATACCTTTGCCTTATTTGTTTTCAGTCTTTAAAGGAAACACACAATCCTCATTAAGATTTATCACCTTTGTCTTTGCTCACTTCCTGAAAAAGCAAAAACGAATTTGGAATTGTCATGCTGTGAAGATGCTTTCATGGGGCTGAATGCAATATGCATTTAACCTCCAAATTGTGTGGGAAATGTTACGTGACCGCTCTTGGGGATTTTTAGTGAACAAGGTCCATATCTGTGTGTGTATTGAGAGTCAAGAGGAAGTCTTATTCCCAGTTTGTTTAGTTCTCTCTCCTCCTAGGACATGCAGCTCTGTGCTTGAGTTCCCAGGGAGCCACAGGCTGTGTTCACTGGAGGAGCTGCATGTTTGGGTACCGTGGTTTAAAGTCATCCAGGGGATCACAATCGTTCAGTCCTTTAAATCAATGCCTTTTTTTACAGTGTTGCGATGATAAGTAAAGAAAAAGCAACGTGTCTCTTTCGGTGTTGAAGAGACTATCTGTTTTACAGGACAAGGTCTGGAGGAAATGAAGAAATTGCTGTTGCTCTTGCTGGGCTGTGCAGTTCAGGTGAGATTTAGCATCTGCCATTTTTTTCCTGAGGCTGAGTGAAATGTTAAAGTTTTTTTTACTGAGTTTAATCTCAGGTTCCTAGTTTGCTTCCTCACTGTGCAGCCTCTTCTGTCTGATTGTCCCTTGAGATTATGTGCCAGACCTGCAGTCTGCAGTCTTCACTCTGGAAAACCACAGGGTCATCTGGTCTTCTTCCTAACTGAGCTCTTCATTAGCAAATTGTACTTTTTGTTTGCTTAAGTCAAGGTTAATGTGATCTACCCCCCAGCTGTTGGTGCTTTTTGAAACCCAGAGAACTGAGGCTCTTCAGGATTCGATTTGGAGACCCTTGTGCTATTGTATCTCTTCCGTAATGGCACTGAAATCGGCTAACTTCTAGAAACTGGATCAGGGTGTGCAGGGTGGGAGAGTAGACAGGCAATACACACTGCTCGGAAACCTGCCGATGACACGCAGTGTGCTGAAAGCACGAGCTACACCAGTATCGTCCTATTGCATTCCAAGCAGCATAAACAGTGTGATATGAAGCAAGTCCCAGATTAAATAACTGGAAAAATAAGGTGTTAAGGGCAACTTTGGGAGGCTGTGAATATTAAACCTTTACAGTGCAGAGATGCCCTGCAGTCTGCTGTTCTCTGTAACAGAATGATACATGCATGTCATTTGTTTTATTTTAGAAATGTAGCAGCGCAGTAGTTCAGTATATTTAAAACTAACAATCAGGAGTGCTGAACATCTTGTGTTCGCATTTTCCTCCACCTGCTATCCAGTCCTACGGGCCCTGGCAGTATACTGGCCATGCATGCTTATCTCAAGGGTCACTTAGGGGCTGGTGTACCTCAAAGGATGGCCAGTCTCATTCCTAAACAAACAGTAAATAACTTATTTGCAAATTAAGAGGTCTTATGACCAAATTGGATCCTCCAAATTATTTTCCCTTGTTTCTGTTGTTTTGTTCCCCTGTTGCACCCACATTTGTATCTTGAAACTGTGACCCACGCAGCACGGCCCGTTTACTAGATTCTGTTCTTGCTGCCTTGTAGAGCGGCTGCGATCAAGTGCAGAAATGCATGGCCTTTACCATCAGTCATTTAGAATGATAGTCCAGTGCATTTATTCAGTCAGATCAGACTGACTCTGACGGTGACCTACTCAGATGCCTGATTTGACGATTCAGAGAGCAGTAGTACTGCGCTACTCTGAAATGGCCTTATCTGTGTGACCCTGGTCTGTTGTTGGTATCTGTTCATACATCATCGCCTCAGGCTGGGGCTTCTTACCCAACTAATTTGCTGCTTTTTCACAGAACAGACTTTATTTATGTAAGATAAATACATTGATAGTCATTTACATGTCAAACATGAAACCGAATAACAGGCCCGATTGTTTATCCAAAGTGAGATTCTCTGAAGCCTCTTTCATCTTTTCACTCTTAAATGTTCAGTGGAAAATTTAGTTTTGTTTTTTTATGGTATGGATGGCAGGCATCTTGTTTTCTCACATTTGTGGGATACAGCCAGAAGAATCTTAGCTTTTTAAGCCTGATTTTTAGTCTATTTTTTTTTGTGAATGCCCATCAGAGAAAATCCTTTAAAATATTTCAGCCGTACATATTTTCAATATTTATATTTTATTTTACTGTGAGCGGTTCATGGCTTTGAGATAGTTGGTGGATAGAGAATAACCAAGCCAGCACAATGAAAGCTCCATTGTTTACATTGTTGTAGAAATCTTTGCAGTGCAAATGTTAACTCTCACATAGACTGTTTCACACTAACTTATTTTCCTTTTCTTTTCAGTGTGAGAAGAAAGAAGAATTCATTGAAAAGATCCAGACCTTAGATTTTGATACTAAAGCTGCAATAGCTGCTCACATCCAAGAGGTATGCAACCACAGCTCTGCTTGTGAACCCAGACAGTTTTCGAAAAAAACAGACATTTTTCTCACAATAATATTGGTCAGTGTTCAAAACCAGAGATTTAGAGACCCTCACATATGTCAGTCCTAGAAAGAGATGCTTCTTTATAAAGTTCTTCCCCTTTTGAAGGTGACTCACAACCAGGAGAACGTCTTTGACCTGCAGTGGATGGAAGCAGCCGATCTGAACCAGGATGACCTGGATTCTTTGTCCAGGAACATGGCCTTCCACTTAAAACGCCTTGTGGATGAGAGGGATGAGCACTCTGAGGTACAGATGATCTGCTGTTAGTGGCAGACCTGCAGAACAACCCCATTGCCCACATTCTCATTACGGCCACAGAGACTTGCCCACAGCCTTGTCCTTTAAAACCAGTGATGATAACCTTAGTGGCTTGGTGAGATCATGCTCCAAGTCTGCCTTCTCCACTGGGCTGTGGATTGTAAATCACTGCGCATTAAATTACGGTTTTGAAACCTTCATACGTACATGTACTGTATGTGTTTTGATTTCTTGTAGTTATGTCTGAACATGTCAGTTCCTTGGTAAGTGCTCCTAAATAACTGAACAGTACAGATTTGTAATGCAGCCTACGTCTCACTCTCCTGGATGTAAGCTGTAGCTTTAAATAAGTTAGGCCAATTAGCAAGAGGCTGTTAATTGCTTTTAAGGTTTTCAGTTAATCAGATAATCCCCCTTGGTGCTCTTACTACCCAGGGAGTGCTGTGACCTAATCTTTGCCATCCTGCTAATTGTACATGAGACGAGAGAACGCTGTTTATATAGCGATGCCTGTAAGGATCGGCACACCTAATTGGCATTAGTGCACTTGATGTGAAGCACCTAAAGATATTTTGAGCATTTGGATAAGTCAGGTGCGAATCAAGGATATTGGAACTTGGTAAAAAGAATATATAAGCTTCTTACTTTGCATCACTACACTTCACTTTTAAATTTTGAGCAAAATAACTGCACTTTCAGATTGTTAAACCCCACAATAAGTTAATCATCATTTATGCAGAAAGATTCCCTCTGCAAGACAGGCACTATGAATTTTAAGAGGTATTTTATCATTTGTATCAGATAAAATAACAAAATAACTGAAAATCTCCACGATGCACCTTGGAAATGGCCTTCTGCTTATGTGGGTCCTTGATATGATTTAAGGTGAAGCTTTTCAAACTAGTTGTCATTATCCAGTTGTAAAATGTTTTTGGTTATTGTTTATTGTACTGCCCCTAAACATTCTTTCCTAATTTTAAGACCTTTAATCTTAAACTACTTTAACCACTACCTGTTACTTTGTCCAGGGTGTGTCTCTGCGTGTATTAAATACAAGAAAAGATCTGTGTTAAACATGTGTATGTATGTATGCCGCTATGTGATGCAAAAGCTGAGGAAAATTGTTGCAAAGATTTGTTTAGCCGTTGCAGCACAAACACATAGGTCCATTTATCTGTTGTTGTTTTTTTTGCCATTAACTCACCACTGTTTGATTCTTTATGACAAACTGTCTTGCTTGCTCTGCTGGCTCACGGTGTGCCTGCTTGTGCTCAGACTATCGTGGAGCTGACCCAGGAGAGGGACTGCGGCCAGGCCTTGCCCCCGGTGCCGACGGCGCAGTCCCCCAGCGGCTCCCCCAGCATGCGCCGCACCGAGAGCAGGCAGCACCTGTCTGTGGAGCTGGCCGACGCCAAGGCCAGGATAAGAAGGCTCAGGCAAGAGCTGTAAGTAGACCGATTGGGTGTGTGCTACACATAGAGATTAAGGGCTCCTGAAGTCTGTTTCAGGCAGCGTGCATGTATTCTGTTGTTAATCAGTCTGAAATGTTCCATATGCCCCCCTGACTATCTGTTCTGAAATGTCACTCACAAGCAGTTTTATTGTGTAATTTTAAGAAAATTATGATAATTTTTAAGCTAAGTGAGATATGGTAGGAAGCTTATAGTGATGAATGTTTTGGCATGCGTTACTTTACCCATGGGCTTCAGTACATCGGCTTTTCATCCATCAGTTTTCTGTCTTGAGTTTGTGTCTTCTAAAGCTCTTTCTGTGGAATCAACCAAAGCCAAAAAAACAGAACATGCAAAATATAAGAAAATATTGATGTGAACAGTTGGAAACACTGTGTCTGCAGGTTTCCGTCCCAGCTGGTTTTCTCCAATGCTAATATGATGTTTTAATTGATACACGTGATGAAAAATAAACTTTAACACATTTCTCCAGTCAGTCCCGCCTTTAATGGTTCTGTTTCCAGCAGCTTCATCACACAGAACTTTACACAGCCTCTCCTCAGCTTGCTGGCCAGTATTTCTGACTAAACAGCTCTTGCTAGCTGATCAGTTAATCTACTAGTGATAACAAACACTGTATCAGAAACTAGCCACTAGAAATGTAAATTGGTTCCATTTCAGGCAGCACACCTGCATGAGGGCAGTTGTTCAATTCAGAAATTGGTAGTTTTGATACCAATTACAAATCCCGTTTAACCTTTTAGGATCTGAAAGTAAATTTGCAGATATACTCTAGACAGAAAACTGAGATCAGTGACAGGAGCAAAACCTAGAAAACAGGGTTGGCAACCACTGATATTGCCTTCTTAAGGCCTCTTGAGGTGAATTTCACGTACCCTGCAGTTTATCTGTTTGCAATCTGCTTGATGATATGGTTGCAAGTTCTCTTGCAATTGTACAATTCTATAGCCTTTCCCCCTCTTCATCTTGTATCTTTATTGATACTAACATTTCACAAATTATTGTCAGCACATTAGAACAAAGAAATAAAAGATTCCAGACTGTCCGGTTTATTATATTAGCCTGGCTATGGTAACAGCAGTGAGTATGGTTTTGGAAGTATTTTTGACAGACGTACTAAGCAATTAGTTTCAGAAGAAATAGTTAAAGATTTACAATAAGAAATTTTACAATTAGTCTGAGGTTCATGTTAATGAAGCATAGTTTTATTCTTCAGCATAACAATATGAAGTATTCATTTAATGGCTATACTCTTTCTTAGTACAGAGGATTGCCATCATTTCTAATTGTTGTTTCTTGGATTTGTATGAACAGCTGCAGTCAGAAAACAGCCTGGAAAGATTGCAGTTATTAGTCTGACTGACTTGTCAGTAAATGAGTTAAATGTTTTCTTCACAAGCTGCTTCATGACATTATACGGCCACACTAATTATTAATAAAAACCCATCATTACCACACAATCTGAGACAACTAGAAAATTAGAATATTTTTTTTTCTTTGCCCTGACTTTGAAAATGAGCCTTGTCTTGGCTGTGCTCATGACAGAACACTTCAGACCATGTTGTGATAATTTAGCGACTGACATTGAGGAGTCGGTGTGGACGTCGAAATGTGACTTGTTAATTTATGGGCTGACGGGGAAAGATAGACAGGTGGGGAGGGTCTCTAATTCGTATCATTGAGGCCTTTTAGCTCTGCCATGAATCCGCCTGGCTGTGAGAGCAAGACGAACGGTTTGATTTTGAATGTCATCTGCAGTTACTCTGTTTGCTTTGCTTAAAATAATACGAATCTTCATCCAGGATTGTAAAGCATTGACAAATCACTGAGCAGTGCTTTCTCAAACAGCTGACCTTACTCAGCTTGCCAGCATGTAGCAAAAAAAGCACATTTCAGATATCCTGCCTCTGATTTAAAATGTATTTGTGCTTTTCCTCAATCATACTGCTAGTAACACTTTCTCTTACTATTGAAATGCAAACTTCAGGCCCTTTACTATTACTTTGGAGTGTTTGCATGCGAACCTCCTAAAACCATTTGAACATTTTCATTTTTGAAAATTCAACCTGTATCAATAATCTCTCATTAAATACATAATATTTGAATTTAGGAGGGAAAATGTAGCCTAACCAAATATTTAACGGTCATCAACAGTGACATGGTGTAACATTGTATCAAGATCATGCAAATTATTGTTGGGAGGATCCATAATTAGCCTGTTAGGCAGTTAAAAATTTGGTTGAATAATATCATAGCTCTAGGCAATGTAACAAGTCAGGTTTAAATTTTGTAGTTTGTATTTTTCAGTTGGCTTTGATAGTATTCATTTTTTTTACAGTACATGATTGTGTTTAAATCTTTGGAATATTTACGGAGTATAATTGACATTTGTCTACTTTTCTAAAATGACAAAAAACACCTCCTCTTTCAGAATAAGTACAACATACAGAAATGTGTTTTCTATGGCTCCCAGTAGAAAGTTTCAAACCATCAGTATGCTTTTCTAAGACAGCTTTGTTACATCATTGCATTGTTTGAACACCCCAATTTCAATATAAATTCCTAGCTGAATGGTTGTGCCTGAGTGCTCTCTTTTCTGTGCAGTGCACTGGTATTTACTCCTCATTGTTTGTGTACATCTGTCTGTTTAAATTCAGTCTGGTTTTAACAGCTTATAATTTCTGAATTTCATCTGTCAGCTTGGCATGTTTGAACTATTTTTTTCTAGTCTTTGCCTTCGCATTTTGATTCTAGGGTTTACCATATTTAGTGCTGACAGACATTTTTCTGTTTTTCTTCTTTGCCTTTCAGTTGCTTTTGTCAACGAGGAGTATTTTGACTGCTCACATTTTAGTTCTGCAGAACAGTAGGACCTTTCATGGGATATGTGAATACTCTGTTCATTTTGATTAATAAGCAATAAGAAACGATCACAAAGTATACAACCATAAAAAAGTTTAAATACTCACACTCAGATGTAACACTCAACACTGTGGCTCTTTGTACAACTTTGCATTTTATTAATGTTTTCCTGTTGGTGTAGTTCACTGAGATCCAGGGTTTTAACTAAGAATACAGTTTCTTTTTAAATCTCTACCTGTTGTGCGTTGCATACAACAATGGTTGATTTTTTTTAAACCCCTCCTCATACAGTAATACTAGCAATAAGTGCTTCCTACAGATGTAACTCTAAATATATACACTTCCTGCTAAAATACTTTGCAGTCCCTGAGCTAATAAAAAGAGATCACATTTAGTGCAACCCTTGGTTGCTATTAGATCAGCGTGGAATTTCGTTCCTAATGTCAGACGTGCTGTCATGAGACGTGCACTTAGGTTGCGGTGTTTTAGAGACTGGACGTGCCCTGAGCTAGCTCTGAAGACTGATAGTCCCTTGGTCTTGCGGCCTCACTGAGAGCGACCCGTCCATCTGCAGAAGCGCTGTCAGTTGAGATGTCAAGATGGAGCAGGGGTTGGATTAACTGGTAGCAGTGTGGGGAGCGTAACAGTGTCAGGCCTAACAGGTCGCTTTAACAGCAGGTGTTCTGGGAGGCTTGTGTTCATGACAGCTGAACCGGAACTTTTTTGACCCTGAAAACCTTTCAAGCTCTTAAGAACTGGTTTTAATAGCCTCTCTGTATGGCTGTAATAGATCACTACCTCTTGTAGCTCTAACACGTCTTTACACAAGCAACCAATTTAATGGCTACAGTCAAGCAGGAGGTCTGGTGTGCTTTAATCTTGCTTCTTACCTGCTGTGGGATGTGAGACAGTGGCACAGTGGTGCTATGTGCTGAGGTCAGCATGTGCAGCGTGGGTCTTGAGAGGACACTTGTTCCTGACTTGCAGGGAGGAGAAGAGTGAGCAGCTGCTGGACTGCAGGCAGGAGCTGGAACATATGGAGACCGAGCTGAAGAGGCTGCAACAGGAGGTGAGTGCATGTGGGAACCGTTGGTGACAAATAAAACAAGGCCTGCAAAAGAAAACCCCAGCAAACTTCGGCCTGCGCTGTTGCCTTTCAGAGGCAATGAAGACCGCAAAAGACCGCCTGTGTTTTGGAAATCGTTCAGTAAAAAGATTTGTAGTCCTATGAGGTAGTCCTTCGTTGGGCTTGCCATAATTAGATATGCTCGATCTCTATGTATTGTATTAAATGTATTGAAACAGAGGAGTCACAGTTAGGTTATACATTTGTCGCTCTGAAATTGTGGCTTAGTAAATGTTAACCGTAGAGCTATTTGTGGATGACAGGGGTGTCTCTCCATCCAGAAGTGAAGTGTGTGCTTCCATGCGTCTTCTGTTGCCAGAACCTGCAGTTGCTGACGGATGCCCGCTCGGCCAGGGCGTACCGTGATGAACTGGACGCGCTGAAGGAGAAGGCCATCCGCGTGGACAAGCTGGAGAGTGAAGTGAGCCGGTACAAGGAGAGGCTCCACGATATTGAGTTCTACAAGGCCAGGGTGGAGGTATGGCCCTGGAATCTGAAAGTACCAAGAATTATGAGAAGGGAAGTTATAAAGGCCAAACCATTAGTAATATGTGATTTTAGGTTGTCTGAAGCAGGAACTTAATATGTGCTTTGATGGGTAGGCTTTGAATTGTTAGAAATGTTAGAGCAGTAGTTAATTAAGTCCTTTTATCCTTCTCATGTTGAAGCCTTATACAGTGATGGCAGCATTATTGTTGTATTTATGAATAGATCTAGCTGCTCACAGTTAAACAGGCTACTGTCATTGAGGATTTTCACTTTTTTTAATTGTATGTGTATTTAAAGTCTTTCCCGTCTAAGTTCCTGATCCTTTGTTTCTAAATTTGTCATTGCAGACTAGGAAGTGCTATTTCTAGATGAGTAACTCCTTGTTTGCATTGCTTTACAAGGAAAAAACAGGAGCTGGTAGCATCTAGATTAGATGCTGTGATCAAAGGCATCATTACTGTTTATTTTTTGTTCCTTAGTTGTTGTTATTGCTGCTGGCTTTAGGACTCTTGCCCTCCTTCATTAATATTGGCCTAAATTCCCCTGCAGGAGCTGAAGGAAGATAACCAGGTGCTGCTAGAGACTAAGACGATGCTGGAGGACCAGCTGGAGGGGGCTAGGGCTCGTTCTGACAAGTTGCATGAGCTGGAGAAAGAGAGCCTGCAACTCAAGTCAAAGATACACGACATGGAGATGGTAAACTGTGGATGTTTCGCCGGGGATCTCTTTGGGTCACCGTATCATTTCAGTGCCTTGATCATTAACGTTTCCAGCATGCTGTAAGCCTCCTGAAGTTTTTCTCTGACGTTTTTAGTCTGGGATTTTTGGGAGTTGTTTTGTTGAAGATCACCCATTCCTTTGCAGGGGGGTTACAAGTGTAATGTTAATGCTGAAAAAAATAATGATGGAAGACTCTTTGGATTGTTGTTTCTGAAAGGGTTCTTGGTGCCATTATATGTAAATTGTGCTGTAATGTATCTGATTATATTAACATTGAGGCTGTTGGAAAGTTATGTACACAGTTGATATAGCAGGGCAAACTCCACTGTTCTGAGGGTCTTCCAGTCCCATGGTCATCATTCACTTCCTGCATGAACCTGGTGGAGAGCGCTGTGAAATGAACCAGGAATGTCCTTCTCTGCCAGGAACGGGACATCGACAGGAAAAGGATAGAGGAGCTGCTGGAGGAGAACCTGGCTCTGGAAATGGCTCAGAAACAGAGCATGGACGAGTCCCTGCACCTGGGGTGGGAGCTGGAGCAGCTTTCCAAGACTGTGGAGCACACAGAGGGTAATCAGTCCCCTTCTCAGTAAATTGCTGTATGGTTTTAATTAGCCTTGGTCAGCTGTCACCCTGTGCCATACCTGGCAGATAGTTAGCTTTGGCTTTCATATGTAAACAGATTGAATGACAGATTTATTACAGCCAATTATTTTTTTACTTTAAAGATTGTTAAGCTTTGTTTTTCCAAATACAGATGGAAACACAAGTCCAGAATGGGGTCTGTCTAATGAAAAATCATGCTACAATTTCAGATGTGGTTACACTACAGGAACATAAACCACGAACAGAGATAAAGCCTATTTTTCAGACATCACCATGTTTGGCCTGGGGTGTATCATGATTTGATAGTGATTAGAATTATTCTAGTGGCAGTGAGCAGACACTTGATTGAATGCAGTCAAGACTGTGCAGACTTGAGACAGACAGTGACTCCCTCTTTCACATCATGCTCTCCTTCCTGTGGGAACTTGAGAGTCTTCCCATTGTAAAAGACAGCAGATGTCTGTGACAGAGTATATTGTGTAGGAAGGCTTACTCAAATCTCATTCCTGCCATATGTATATGAGAGTGGCAGCAATGAAGCAAGTCTATTAACAATTAGTAATTTACAAAAAAAGATGTAAGTGATGGGGGAGGTTACATTTCCAGAATGATTGAAATTCCATTATTTGTTTCTTGGAATTTAATTTGATGCATAGGGACATCCCTGAAAGCAGGGCACAATATTCTTCTTAATGGCTCTAGTGACTGTAAAGTGTCTTTTCAGTGCCACAAAAATCTCTGGGTCACGAAGTGAACGAACTGACGTCCAGCCGGCTGCTGAAACTGGAGATGGAGAACCAGAGTCTTCTGAAAACCGTAGAGCAGCTCAAAAGTTTAGCAGAACCGTCGGAAGACGCCAACTCCAGAATCCTGAAGATTGAGAAGGAGAATCAGAGACTGACCAAGAAGGTTAGCATTCACTGTTTATAAATCTCAGGAGGGAAGCTTCTCTTTTGCAATGTTGTTATGTTACTATGTGAGATTTAACCTAAATCCTAGAGATGCTTGACTTTTGTAAGGTGCCTCCTGTTACATTTAAATTAAGCTGGAAAGAATTCTTAACCTTTTACAGAATAGTTATGGAATATTTTAAAGTTGCAGAAGGTTAGAAGTTGCTGAAAGAAAGTAAGACAAATGGTACCTAAATATAATTTTCTGTCAGTGTTCCCAACTGTTTCACTCCCTTGTGTAATATGCTGGTATTTTTGCACACATACGTCTGTGCATATTAAAAAAGAAATTCCACATGCTGACTAATACAAACATATTATTAGTTTAGAAATAGCAAATAACTGAGAGAGAAAACAATGATTCTAATTAAACCTGTGCACATAGCATTATCATTTTATGCAAATCAGGTTTAAATTTGTTAGAAAAAAGAATAGATCAGTGGTTTCTACTTGGCTTTTGCAGGCTGTCAGAAACATAACATTTTTTTGAATAAGCAGCTTATACAAAATAGGGATGATGTGGGGGTATGCTCAGTGCTATCATCAGCCTTCTTATTAGTATCCCTTCTCTTCTGAAGGTACAGTTTTTTTTTTGTGGGGGGGGGCAAACAGCTGGAGCTGCACATCAGATGCCTTCAATCAGCCTTGGATTACCCTGCAGGGAAGAGCACAGCTGAAAAGACCCTTTTATTTATAATGCAGATTTCCTCCTCTTCCTACATCTTAATCAGTCTGTGTAAAATTACATTTAATTGCCCCTGCCAGACTGTGTTCTGGCGTTCTCTGGCATCAGCTCTTTTTTTAGTGGTGTTGTTATTGTTGTTGTTTAACTGCTGCTCTTTATTTTTTAACTCTTTCTTAGCTGGAGAGACTGGAAAATGAGATGAGCCTTGAGAAGCAGACCCTGCAGAATGCGGAGAACCTCAGCAGCGACCTGATGAAAGAGAAGGCTCAGCTTGAGAAGACCATCGAGACCCTGCGGGAGAACTCGGAGAGACAGGTACTGCAGGGCTGTCAGATGCTGATGGATCACAGGGTGCCTGCTCTTTGTGATCCGGGACAAGAAAAGAGCAATCCAAAAATTGGCAAGAGGCACTTCATTTAAAAAATCACACGCCATTCACAGCTGGGTGCCCTCCCTCCTTTCAGGTGCATGAAAGCTTATAGATACCAGCAATTTAACACAGGTATACAGTATATGTATCTTATTGTTCCTAGTCTTTCTGAGGTTTTTTGAAGTGTGATTCCAATATCCGCTCACAATTAGGGAAACAACTTGTGTGCTTAGCATTTCTAAAACATCGGTAGAGATTCCCTTTTTTTCAAAATTAAATTTATATGCGGGGTGTATATTCAGCTGTCTAGGCGTTAGCGCTATTGAAAGATAGATCTGTTAGTTTAAAGGTACTGTTTCTAAAAAAGTATTTTTATAACATGAATAAAATGATATAAAACATTAGGTTTGAAGTTAGTGATTTTAACAGCAGAGACCTGTTTAATCTAAATGATCTTCCCTACTACATATACAGTACGTATCTACAGTGTAGTCACACAGGGCAATCCAATAATTCACCTGCTGCACTAATGTTTGGTGAAGGAAAATTATTGAATGCAGATACTGAATCAGCGTGCTTGGAATTCATAATGACTGCGCTCTTAACGGATTACTCGAAGAATTGAATTGAAAGCCTTTTTCCTCTTCTGTCGTAGGTGAAAGTACTGGAACAAGAGAATGAGCACTTAAATCAAACCATATCCTCCCTGAGGCAGCGCTCTCAAATTGGAGCGGAGGCCCGGGTGAAGGACATTGAAAAGGAGAACAAAATCCTGCACGAGTCCATCAAGGAGACCAGCAGCAAGCTGAACAAGATGGAGTTTGAAAGGAAGCAGCTCCGCAAAGACCTGGAGCACTACAAAGAGAAAGGAGAGCGGGCGGAGGAGCTGGAGAGGGAGGTGCATCGGCTGGAGAGGGAGAACGAGCAGCTCCAGAAGAAGATCACCAGCCTGAGCATCACCTGCGAGAAGGTCGAGGCTCTGGAGCAGGAGAACTCGGACCTTGAGGTGGAGAACAGGAAGCTGAAGAAGAAGCTGGACGGTCTGAAGAACCTGGGCTTCCAACTGGAGGCGTTGGAGAAGGAGAACACCCAGCTGGACGAGGAGAACCTGGAGCTGAGGAGGACAGTGGAGTCCTTGAAGTCTTCCTGCATCAAGGTGGCACAGCTGGAGTTGGAGAACAAAGAGCTGGAGAATGAGAAGGAGCAGCTGAAGAAGAGCCTGGAGCTGATGAAGGCCTCCTCTAAGAAGACCGAGCGCTTGGAGGTCAGCTGTCAGGGGTTGGACACGGAGAACCAGAGGCTGCAGAAGGCCCTGGAGAACAGCAATAAAAAGATCCAGCAGCTAGAAAGCGAGCTCCAGGATGTCGAGACCGAAAACCAAAACCTGCAGAAAAACCTGGAGGAGCTCAAAATCTCTAGTAAGCGCCTGGAGCAGCTGGAGAAAGAGAACAAGATCCTGGAGCAGGAGACGTCCCAGCTGGAGAAAGACAAGAAGCAGCTGGAGAAGGAGAACAAAAGGCTGCGGCAGCAGACCGAGATCAAAGATTCCACTTTGGATGACAACAACCTGAGGATATCCACTCTAGAGAAGGAGAACAGGTCCCTTGCTAAAGAGATGAGCCTCTTCAAGGAATCCTGCGGACGGGTCAAAGACCTTGAAAAGGAGAACAAAGAACTTGTAAAACAAGCAACCATTGACAAAAAGACTTTAGTGACATTACGTGAGGTAATGTTTTGTCAGTATTACGCCTTCTTGATTTTGGAATTTGGATTTGTGGTCCTCTGTTGCCTGAGGATAGCTGATAACTCTGCTGCGTTCACTGGGACTGTATCTTCAATCACACATTATTCATCAGTTACAAACAGGAGAAAATAGACCAGTTCTCTTTTGAAGGGAAATAACATTGAGAAATTCTAGAATAGTGAACTTCATGCTATGATATACAATGTTTATACATTTTTAAATTTCAGTATTTGAAGTTCCAAGCAAATTTTAAACATTATGAAAGAGATTTTTATGACTTTGTCTTCTGTAATACACACTAATTTCTAGACGAGAAATTAAATGCATCTTCCTTCATCCCGAGATGAAAACACTACATGTATTTTAGCAGTATCCTGAGCGGTTTTTTTCACTTGGACTTTCCCAGTACACTGAACAAATATTTGTTGAACATGGATACAGTATCAGCTTGAATTGCTAAGGACACACTATATGAATTATTAATAATGAGCGTTTGATAGGATAAGGAGAAAAACTGAGTGTTTGATGTTTTAGGAGCTGGTGAGTGAGAAACTGAAGACTCAGCAGATGAACAATGACCTTGAGAAACTTACCCATGAGCTGGAAAAGATAGGTCTGAACAAAGAGAGACTGCTAGATGATGAGCAAACATCTGATGACAGGTAAAAGGATTAAAAACTGCATTGTATCTGAGATCAAAAACATCCAGCGCAGGCTCCCAGTATGAGTCAGAAGCCCAGACAGTGGGAGTATCTACTGTTTTAGTGTACAGGTCAGAAAGTGAGCCCTGGGTTTCGTTGTCAAAAACCTTCAAAAGAAAATCTGGCTTTCAGTGTGCAAACTACTGATGAACAATATATAATTATATCGACATTTTGGAGCTCTGTGGTTTCTGTGCAAATCCTTTATCTATTTAATTTGATTAATTATGACATCTGGTTCATCATGATTGCTACACTCCGGCTACTTGTGGGTCAAATTACTTCCACTCAAATCGATAAAGATCAAAATTGAATTGAAAATCATGTGTTTTGATAGAGAGAACTAGCAGACATTTGTGCTTGAAACATAGAACTAAGCTTTGTTATTTGACATGGCTAATCATCATACAGCATTCAGATGAATATGCTTTGAGATATTAAAAATCAGTTATTTGAGATATACACTTTCCCAATGTCCGTGTGGTTTGTTAGTCAAAAACATTATAGGATGAATCTTTTAATGGATTTCTAAATTATGTCATTGTAATGTGTGCTAAATTTGGTTATCTTTTCTTGATGTCTGATGGTAATATGTATAAATAGCAGGTACAAGCTGCTAGAGTCCAGGCTTGAGTCCACATTGAAAAAGTCACTTGAAATCAAGGAGGAGAAGATTGCAGCACTGGAAGCTCGTTTGCAGGAGTCTTCAAACCTGAATCAGCAGCTCCGACAAGAACTCAAAACCGTAAGTCACACAAGTACAGAAATACAAGAGCAAAATGGCCTTAGTCTTTTTTCAAGTATCCTCATCTCAGTGTCTCTCCTTTGGTTAGTTGGACAAAACTTGATCTGGACATTTCATTTTCTGATGTTTTTTTTGCTGAAAGAGCCTAATGCTTCTGAATCTTAGTACAGTTGTATGCTTGTAAAATAGTCGAGTAAAAATAATGTTTTACCTTGCTGTTGTCTGTAACAGAGGCTGCAATAATATTCCCACCAAGTCTGTTGGGAATGTTTTATGTAAAAGTGTCCTTTTGAATAAACTGTATGGGTTAACAATTTAATCTTGGGACCTACAGCAGTTAATGGGTGTGTAGCACAACCCCCTAGGCTTCCTGAAATTCTTAAGGATTAAACCATCAAACTGACTGATGACAAATATTGAAAGCAGTGTGTTAGGAGAGTCTGCTAGTGAAAAGGGAAGTCTCAATGTGAGATCAAGCTTGTGCTGTGACTGCAGGTGAAGAAGAACTATGAGGCCCTCAGGCAGAGGGAGGAAGAGGAGCGGATGATGCAGAGCTCTCCTCCCAGGGGAGGGGGAGAAGAAGCCCAGAGTGTAAGCAAGTGGGAAAAGGAGAGCCACGAGGCCACGCGGGAGCTGCTCAAGGTCAAGGACAGGCTGATCGAGGTGGAGAGGAATGTGAGTGACTTGTCCGTGATCCCCATCGCTGTTTCCCTTGCTGTGGTGTCGGTCCATACAGATTCTTACCACACAGTACAGTCAAGGATACCGCGGACTAGAAAAGGGTGCTATGGAAATCTCCATACAAAACATTACTATTGCACGCCATAAAGTAGTATTCAGTTAGATTGTACGCAAAAATTTGCCAAAATACTTTTCCCATGCATTGAGTTGAATAGGGCATCATTTCAAGTACAGAATTGAGGTGAACATTTCTGTGATCTGTTGTACTGCTATACGTGCTTCCCAGACCGCTGAATCACGAGTTGTGTATTGTCCCACTCTCTGTTGCGGTGTGAAGAATGCCACGCTGCAAGCAGAGAAGCAAGCTCTCAGGACCCAGCTGAAACAACTGGAGACCCAGAACGATAACCTGCAGGCTCAGATCCTGGCCCTGCAGAGACAGACTGCCTCCCTGCAGGAGCACAACACCACGCTGCAGACCCAGAACGCCAAGCTGCAGGTCAGCTCTCCTGTACTGGGCTGGGCCGACGGTGTTCACACTGGGGAGTGCAAAGGAGTCCCTTGCTCAGGAGTGAATGGGAGATTTGTTTTTCTTCTCTTATAAACAAACGCACAGAGTCGTGGTTGATTGATTACTGACCTGAGGCTGTTAATAATGAAATAAAACAATGAGGTAGTTATTATTTTAAAAGAGGAAATGCCATGCATTATAGATGTAGAAAATAGCTTCCAAAAGGGGATTATTGTTCACAGTGCCCTCTGCTGACATTTTTTTCCTACAACTCAAAATTTTCTTTACCTATTAATTTGGTTGATAGACTTGGATGTAAATCAGTCATCACTAATTGCACTTTTTTATAATAATTACAAATTTTCCATTTAAGAAAATAATTAGTAATAATATAATAATGCATTACTTGTTTCCCAGCTGGGGCAATGAAAATGGCCTGCATATCAGAGTGGTCATTTCTGGAATCACAATCTTAAAATTGTATGATGCATCTATTAGTTACTGAACAAGTAACTGGGGAAAGCGGTTATTTTCATTGGTCTGGAAATTTAATTAATCATTGAAGTAGCTTAGCAGATAAGAGCAAAATCCAGAGACTGTGATGTGACATCTGTATTGTACCTTTTTTTACCTGTACAATACAGTACAGGTACAATTAGTTCCAACAATCACTCAGGCTTTAAACATCTGAGCTGCCTTATTTGCTGCACAGGTGGAGAATTCCACTCTGAGCTCCCAGAGTGCATCCCTGATGGCCCAGAACTCTCAGCTGCAGAGCCAGCAGTCCAGCACGGAGAGCGAGAAGGACAGCCTGCTGCGCGAGAAAGAGGAGCTGAGGGCCACGTACGAGCTGCTGGTGCGAGACCACGAGAAGCTGGCCACGCTGCACGAGCACCAGGCTGCCGAGTACGAGACGCTCATCAGCAAGCACGGCAGCCTCAAGTCTGCGCACAAGAACCTGGAGCTGGAGCACAGGGAGCTGGAAGACAGGTCAGCACTCGGACTGTCACGGAGCAACGCTCGCGCAATGTTCTAATACAGACGTCAGTGTCAGGAAAACAGATCTGAACTACAGCTTAGTGTCTGAAGTGCTCTGTTTGGTCTGCAGGTACAACCAACTGCTAAAGCAGAAAACCCAGCTGGAGGAGCTGGAGAAAGTCCTGAAGGCGGAGCAGGAGAAAATGGTATCTGAAAACAAGAGTCACGAGGCCACAGTGTCCAAGTACCAGAAGCTGCGTGACGAGAATGACAAGTGAGTAAAGGGAAGAAATAGGCCTTGGTTTAGACTTACAGGCCTGGCACACAAGTGCAGTGTGGAAGCAAAGAGCCTTGTGGGTTAGCACAGGTGCACCAATACCTGCAGGACCTCCTGTTTTCTGGTTTGCTTTGTGGTTTCTGCATGTGTGTGCCACATTTATGACTCCTCACCCTTGCATCCGATTGATTTTCCCTTCCCTTAGTGCTTCACTGTTAAAGCCACACCAAACTCTTATATAGCATATACCTTCTTAGAAAACTGGTTTTAATTTAAGTTCAAGATTGAATTATGTCAGATTGCATTATATCAAAAAATACTTAAATACTGTTGGAAAAAAGAGAGATCTGTATGGTGTAGAGTTCCCAATGAGTTTTACTTTCTATTTCTTTGTTTAATAATAAGTATGTTATAATAGATTCCCTTTACTGCTACAAAAACAGAAGGCGGGCTCAAGCAATGTGAGTCACTTGCAGTACAATTTTACTCTTTTGGAAATAAGGGTAAAGTTAGTTTCTGCATCAGACTGATACCATATTATTTAGTAGTTTAGGAAAGGAGTTATGCAATATCGGGCCCCTGAATACTAAGAATGACTTTTTTCATTTTTCAAAAAAACATCTTCAAGTTATTATTCATATTAATACAAAAATTCACTTTCATCTGCTCATATTTAAATTCTACCTGAACCATTAACCACATGTTTATATGTTTCCACCACGAATTTAGCTTCTGTGTCAAATGGGGGCACGAATGGGTTCATATTGACTCGATGCCATTTTTATCTGTGCGAGTCAGAAATACACAGAACTACTGGGGCAGTGTCGGCTGGAGACTGAATGGAATATTTGATGAGCAACTTTCAAGTTGTTCAAGTTGTTCAAAATGCACTTGGTAGACACATGCCATCTTAATTCAGCATACCACGAGCATATAATATTGTCTATAGTTATGATGGTGCTTTAAAATACCATACATTAAACCACACTTCTGTGTTTGAAGGCTGAATCAAACCTACAATCAGCTGCTGAAAGACAACGAGGGGCTGCAGACAGATCACAAGAACCTCAAGAGCCTGCTGAACAGTGCAAAGCTGGAGCAGACGCGTCTGGAGGCAGAGTTTTCCAAGTTAAAGGAACAGTACCAGCAGCTTGACATTACGTCCACCAAACTGAACAACCAGTGTGAGGTACCAAGGCCAGAAATCTCAGTCCAGGAACAGAGCAGTTGATTCTTTTGGGGGCCTGCTTCCGGTCAGTGTAGTGGGACAGTGTCCCCAGGGAAACGTCTCTCTAGAGAATTTACAGTGTGTATCAGCATGGTGGTTCTTTTCCAGACTTGAATCAAATCTGTGGTTTAGAATATATTAGTGGCCTTAAACGGGAGCAGTCTAAAGTACTGGAAAGAAAGAAGATGAATCTGAAGCTAGAGTAAGAAAGCTCATATCAATTTTTTTATATTGAATCTTTCACGTGAGATGCTGTTTCTAATGTCCTGTGGTTAAAGGAAACTTTGAAGAAATATTATGGATGATTCTTAGCACAATCCCTTTTAAATTTTTTTGTGAGAAATGTAAACAGTTTCACACTGGGTAACCGGTTTATGTGCGTTATAATGATGAAGGAATTTTGGTTGGTAAAAGCAATTTGTTTTCCAGTTACTGAGTCAACTGAAGGGAAACCTGGAAGAAGAGAACAGGCACCTGCTGGATCAGATACAGACACTGATGCTACAGAACAGAACTCTGCTGGAGCAGACCATGGAGAGCAAGGATCTCTTCCACGTAGAACAGAGACAGTACATGTATGTGCACAGTACAAGCAGAGCTTTCAGTATACATACACACCACAGAACATTCTGTTAACATGCCACTTCATCCACAGCAAAGGCACTCAGATTCCAGTTACTGTTTTCTGAGCAAACTAGTGATTTGGGCTTTTAAGTAATGCTAACCTCCAGAAGTGTTTTATAGAAAATAGACCATTTATTTTTACATTAATTTACTCTTTAGATCTTTAATGTTTTATTAGGCTTGTTACAGAATACGTCTTGCATTTCTTTATTTAGAGACAAGCTTAATGAGCTAAGAAGACAGAAGGAGAAGCTGGAAGAAAAAATAATGGATCAGTACAAATTTTATGATCCGTCACCACCAAGAAGGTAAGTATAAAAGGAACTGTGGACAAGGTTCCAGAGCATGCACCTTAATAATAAGTATATATATATATGTTTATTCACTTTCTATAGTCTGTTCCTGTACCATAACTACGTGAATGGACCAGTTGACCAGTTGGCAAACACTAGTACCATCTGACCACATGTTGACCAGTTCAGTCTAATTGATCAACACTGAATCATGCTGTAGTTACTTCACTGGGTGACAGAAGGAGCATTGTTACCTGGTAGCTTGATCTTGCCAGATCTCAGAAGCTAAGCCAGGCTGGGCCTGGTCAGCACTGAGACGGGTTCACCTCAAAGGAAACCCAGGGTGGTGCTGCAAGGGGTGTTGGTGGTCCAGCTGGTGGTGCTCCTCCCCTGGACCTGAATTTCCAGACCAGTGTCCCAGTGTGAAGGGCGGAAACACTGTACTGTAGGAAGGGCTGTACTTTAGGCTACATTTTAAACTGTGGTCCTGACTATTTGGTCACTTTTCAGAAGACTAGAGTTTCAGAAGACTTGTGTCCTAGAAAAATTCTGCTGTGTGCTTAGACAATCTGGCTTACCTGAAGTTCCCTCCGAGTTTAACTGGTGCCTGAATTTTAGACTTCCTGACTACTATTCCAGCATTTTTATAAGTATATATTATAAGTGCTCTTGCCTGTAACATGGACAGATGTTATTAGGGTGGTCATTTTGAAATTGAGACCTAACACCACAGGTACCTACTGTATAAGAATTTGTGGTAATTTTTACTTGTTTCAAATAATTCTGCTTTGAATCTGAATGGTGATTGATGTTTAGTGTATATCCAGAACTTCCAGTAATGTTAGGCCAGCAAGACTGGAAGTTTATTTACCATAGACTGCATCAAATAAAAGGTGTTATAGTTTGTTTAATGTATAATTAGAAGATCTTGTTTCATCAAATTACCCTGGATGAGTGGGTTACATGGTTCATAATTAAGATTTTAATTGTCAGCTCAACAGCTGTGGGATGAGCAGGTGTTCATTTTTTGAGTGTTTAAAAAATTGCACAAAACAAGTACTAAATATCTTTGCATTTGTAAAACATATTTTACAGGCTGTGCAGTGTTCTGTTTTATTTTATTCTTATGGTATAATTCAGTATACAGTATAATACGGTATCATTGAAGCAATTTAGTTTGTTGACTATTACTGCTTTGTTTAATGTTACTATGGTTGTGTATGTTATTATGCATGTTATTTATCCTGTTTTAATTAATTATTTTAATTTCTGTTTTAACATTCTCAGCAAGTTAGCTTCTGAGGAGAGTTCTTAAGGCTCAGTCTGATGGCTGTGTGGCAGATGGACTGCAGTTCATAGCAGTTTTCATTCAGATTACAGAATGTTTTGTGCTGTAATGGAGAATGACTGCTTCTTATTAACGCTGTCACAAAACGCGGGTTTTTCAAATAGGGTATGTAAAGGGCCGAGTGGCTCCTTCACTCGTGTGCTTTGTTTCCTTTCCAGGAGGGGTAACTGGATCACGATGAAGGTGAAAAAGCTGATTAAGCCCAAGAACCGGGAGCGGATCAGGTCCCTGACGCTGACCCCAACACGCTCCGAGTCCACGGAGGGGTTCCTGGGCCTCCCTCCGCAGGACAGCCAGGACAGCTCTTCCGTGGGCTCCGGCTCCAACTCCCTGGACGACAACCTGTCCAGCAAGAGGAGCAGCAGTGAGTATCGCCTGCTAGCCTGACGCGGACCACAGGCCGAGCAGGCAGCTAGAGAGAGGCCCCACGAGCTCAGCCACTTCCAGCCACCCCAGAAACTCACCAGCAGGCAGAATAAAGCACCCTCCCCGTCAGCCCGTTTGTCCTGCTTCATTGTGTTGTGCTGCTGTCATTTACGTCTTTTAATTCATTTCGTTTTACCTTCTCTCGAACTGAAAGGGATGACAGTTCAGTGTGTACAGATGAGAGCGAACACACTCTGAGTATAGGAGTCGCTCTGTTTTAGATAAGCCGGCAGATTCCTATGTTGGTGACATTGTGGGCTGTGTGGGCATGAACAGGTTGTAGTTCATCCTCGTTAATGTGTCCATCTGTACCAAATGGTGAAATTCACTCATTTACATTTTAATGGTGGTGTTGATGTAGCTTTTTAATTGCGCTGGCAACACCCTAACAGACATTGTGCAGTAAATTCAAACTTTTGTTGTTCACATCCATAATTTTGCAATTACTTCTTGGTTTTCATGAAAGTATATACTGTTTAAAAAATCTATTTTGTAGAGATGTTACAGTTGTGATATTTAACCATATTCTTTTCAACCTCACAGTTAAATTGTAAGGTTCAATCATTGTTAAATGATTATCTGCCTAGGTTTTTGTTTTGGTTTTATATTTTCTGAAATTGTTTACAAAACAGAGAAGAAATAGTGTCTGTAATTGTACAAATATAACCATATGTAGTGTTCCGTGTTTTCAGTGTTTATTTTATGCATTTTATTTTAGAGCATTACAGTACATCTTTACTACCTTCCAGTGTAGCAGAGCCTGTTCATTATCCTCTGAGGCATAGGATGTTTATCAATTGTTTATTTTAATAAAAGCTCAATATGAAACCAAATCTGGAGATAAAGAATGAAACGCACAAAGGTATGCATTTACATACATTTGACAGTTAGATGTACCCACAAGTACAGTAACTAGAATAAAGCATACCATTTGGAAAAATACATTATCTTCAAAGAGGTGCAGAGAGTAAAACATTGAGACAGATCTCAGACAAACATAACATATACTGGAAAAAAAACAGCAAGCATTGGCTTAAGTAAAAATAAAAAACAATACAGTAACAATAAACACAAAACAGTTGAGAGAGACATTTCTCAAGTGATTTGAACTTAAAATATTGTTGAGCCTTGACCTCCATCATAAGGAAGTGAACCGAGCACCACACTCTTTCCCTGACTGCAATTCAACCTTTTCCTAAAAATTGCAATTGCAAGGTGCAGCATTCACTGGTTTAGAGTGGCATGACTGAAGAAAAGACAGGAGTAATGTACAGTAAGAAAGGTGGCTTTGGGGTATCCCTGCAGGCTTGTAAAACACATGTTGTGGACACACATCTCCACTTCTTTTGCAGAGGAAGAGAACATTAAATGGTGTATTCTGTATTTTTTTCCACAATATCTGTGATTCATGTCAGTGGAAAATCAGTGTCAGCACTGACTAAATTTAACAGCATAAAACCTCTGCAAAATGGCACTTTCCTATACAGTGTAATTGAAAAGAGAGATCCACAAGTGTACAAATGCCACGGTCTCCATTCTCAGATACCTGTGTGGGAACAAACGCTAATATTCCTGACTTCATTAGGACTTTCAGTTGGCTCCCATTATATTTTTATTTACTGTTATGTATCTTTATATCTTTAGAATTTTTATATTTAAAGTGGTGTGTTTTGTTCATAAAAGGATGATTTACATTTTGGGGACATCCCAACATGATCTAGTTGTCTAGATTTCCTAGTTTTAAGGATCAAATTCTGCCCTAAAATTGATTGTGAGTAGTCACACAGACCACAGACCCTACACAATAAAGAATACATTTTGCACTGTGTGAGGATAAAGAGGTTTCTGTCTTTTGGTGCCAACTTTAGATGAATAATCTTTGATTATCAGGGCACAGTATAAAAAGGCACTGCCCATTAGTAGTACTACTTTTATATTGTTAAACATACATGGATGATTGATTCAGTGCCTAAGGCTGAATTGCACCACTGCTGCCCCAAAGCTCCATGGTCAAATATGGTTAAAACAGGAGATATAGTTAATACAAATAACCCCCTCTGAGCTTTGATTTTGAAGAAATATTATATTAATATAGTCTTCATTTGCTAGTGTGAGAGAGATTATATGTGATCTACGGGACCTTACATGAGAGAAAAGCACATTACCTTGAAAATACCGTCCCTAACACAACCCAGTGTCTCATCATGCTGTGCTCCTGTGTGATTGCACCATTCAATAAGTGTTACCGTCAGCTGTGGGTCCTGTCTCCTGTGTCTGTCTTGTGAATAAGTGAGAAATCCACTGTCCCAAGGTTCACACCCTCTTCCACTCATCCCACTGAGCTGTTTGTTTGTGGTACAGCTCGTTCTCTACGTCGTTCAAAGCATGCACAACTGAATCTCCGTAGAGTGCCGCACAGGTTTCTGTTCCCTGGTTTCGGCATTTGTTAACGTCCATCTGTTTTCTCCCTCCCTCCTTTCTTTATTTCCATTTCCCCGTTTTCTTCCCGTTTGTTTTTTTTAACCACCTGCTATGACATAAAAGTGGCTGCACTGAAAAGGTTTCCCTTTATGAGGAACAGACCGAAGGAAAAAGACAGAGTGAAGGCCATCTACCGCCGTTCCATGTGTAAGAACCCTATAGCCTAGCTGCTACCTTCTATGGGCTGCTCGTCGTCTTTTCCTAATTGTTCTCTTTTTCTGCCATTTCCTTAACCCCTGTCCTGCAGTGTCTGAAGCACTAACTGTCTTGATGAACAGCAGAGAACCTACTGTAAGAATTCTATAAATAAGGTGCTGTCATCTGTAATAAAATAGGTTATGATCTTGGACTAACATATCCCCAATTTTTATATATAATTCTGTTTTAAGAGAATATTTTGGCAGTAGCATTTTCTTCTTGCGTTTTGAAGGCAATAATGAAATATAACCTAATAGTGCTTATCTGATGGCAATAGTTCATCAAGATGCACTGTATGTTACTAATAGCATTCTAAAGCTTCCCAATGCTTCCAATATACAGCATCAGTGTTAAACTGAAATACTGCTTCACAGCTTGAATTTTTGTTTTAAACTTCAAAAAGGGCACCATCTTTGCAAGATGACCTTGGGAGACGCTGACAGCATGTTTTTATCCTGCACTGACCATGGAAATGCGTTGCTGCCTGTGGCTTTAACTGAGCATTCCCTGCTGCCTCCGTAATCCATAGCCACTCCTCCCACAGCTCTTCAGACATCCCATCCCAGACTTCAGACTTCCCAGCTAGGCTGCACGCGGCCCGCTTCACAGGCATGGCTTTGCACTGCGCGGTACCAGCAATCGCTGTCATGTCCGAGCTGAAATGGATACTGCAGACTAAACCTCCCTCAGCCCCAAGTTTCATTTCAGCTCTGCGCATGTGTCATGATTACATGGACGACCGAGATTGTGGCCTCATCCTAAGTCATTCATCACTGAAAGAAACCACAGAAAAAGCCATCTTGACACATAGTGCCGATACCGATGTAACGAGCCTAGCACGCTGCTCCCTGAAGACCAGGGTGCTCTTGCACCTTTCCATGGAGCAGCAGGCTAGACGCACCCCGAAAGAAGACGCAGTCACTGCGCACGGCCATAGTAATTCATTTCTTTTCATTTCCATCTCAGCCATGAATGACCTGTTGCAAACCATGGCCCTGGCGGGGGGCCAGTGGGCCGGTAGTTCTGAGAACCTGGACGGGTCAGATGACGCCACCACCAGGCTGAGGATGAGAGAACTGGGATCCATGGCCTACTCCACCACGGCTATCAACTACGCCACCCTCCACCCCTCCACTGGCCTCAGGTCCAGGCACAGGCTTAAGTCCAAAGGTAGAGCTAGGACACACGTCATTTTCATTTCAGTAAAAGAACACATTACTGCAACACACACAGCACAAGTCCTCCTCTTATCTGTTTAGACACTATGCTGATTAATGCATTGTGTGTATAAAGTAAGTCCTCCAGAAATCTTTCTAGACGTTGTTCTGAGTAGTGTGTGTATATAAAATAGTTCGGAAAGTTGTTGAACTTTAAAGGGAAGGTAGGTAGAAATATGCTCTGTGATGTAATGAGTGTGAGAGGGAGTAGGACCTGACCAAATCATGCAATAACCTATAACCCAGAATCCCCCCGAAACACTTAACTATTTTTTGCAAGTCTGAATTTCATGAAACCAGAGCCGTTTTGGGGCAGGATGTCCCATTTTTCACTTGCAGCAACTTCCAGCTGTATCGCCCGTACATTCACTGCTGGGAGTCTCAGTGCAGGGGATTTGCTACAAACAACCCACTGTGTAAAAAGGGAGGCCAGTGCTCTAGAAATGTGCGCGAGACCGCTTGGGTCTCATGGCTCTTAAGACAAACTGATGTTCCCGTGAGCTGTTTTATGTATTGAATCAGTTCTGTAATCGAAGCCTCAGACATTACTCAGATCATTGATAACCCTAACTAGCTGGTTCTCTTTTTGGCATCCGGATGTACTTTTACGTAATGGAGCACGCTTTGCACTTCCTGCTCGTGAGCACGAGCGGACCGGCATGATGCTCGTCGCTTGTCTCGGTGGGGTTCGCCTCGACGGCCTCTCACCAGGCGCCGCTCTTTTGTGCTGCTGGTTTTCAGACAACGCGTCGTGCGAGGACGTCGCCCCGAGGGTCTTGGATGAGCCCAGCAACGGAGTGAGAGCTCAGGGTAAGCAGCAGGCTGGAGTGGGTGGTCTCCTGTCTTCCCAGCTACAGTGAGGCTCACACACAGTCCGTCTGGGAGCGTTCCACTGCTCCCCGGCACGCTGGCTTGAACCCACATTTTTGCTTTCCTTAACAAGCACTTTCCTTTTTCCTTTGCTCTGCACAAAAAGCCTCATCTGCTACAAGCCTGGGGATATGTTTGCTCCTTACTAGGACATACTGTAATGCACTCTAAATAAC